CCCACACAGAAGGAGGCCCTCACATGATGCATTCCCCTGGACCATAGACTTCCCAACCTCCAAAACTGAAAAAATAAATTTAGTTTCTTTATATATTACACATTTTCAGGTATTGTTATAAGCACCAGAAAATGGACTAATACACCTGGAAACAACCCAAATGTCCATCAGCCTGTGATAGGATAAAAAAAAATTGTGGTAATCTATATAATGGAATTCTACTCAGTAATATAAAGGAAAAATTTACAACTATACAATATGGGAGATTCTCACAGATTAATGCTGAATGAAAGCACCTACTGTATGATCCCATTTCTATGGAATTCTAGAAAATGTAAGTTTATTTATAATGACAGAAAGCAGATCAATGCTCATCAGTTTTGAGGGAGGTGGGAATTAACTGCAAAGGGCCTTGAGAGAATTTTTGGGAATGATGGAAATGTTCTATATGTTGATTGTGGTGGTAATTATGAGAATATATACATTTGTCAAAACTCATTTAATTGTACATTTAAAATGGGTGTATTTTATTAAATTATACCTCAATAAACTTGATTTAAAAATCCATCATGGGGCCGGCCCGGTGGCGCACTGGATAAGTGCGCCGCTTGGGAAGCGCGGCGGCGCTAGGAATGAGAGGAATTAGTAATGAGAGGAATTAGTAAAGGGCCATGAAAAAAGATTACATTGTGTAGTGTTGAATATACTAATTATCTTGATTTGAGCATCACATATTACACACAGGTAATGATATTCAACTATATAGCCCACAGATACATACAATCCACTATGTCACAATTTTTTTTAAAAAGGAAAGAAAATAACTCTTTGAACAATATATACTTCATTTAAACTTTCTAAGACAAAAATTATACTACTCACTTTTTAAAAAGAGTGACACACACATACACACACATCACCTGTGATTTTCAAAATTTTACAAGAAGGAGGATGTTAGCTTTAATGACCTATTGTTTAACATTATCACTTGAACATTTAACCTGTTCCCAACTTTTCAGGCTCTATGAGGGCATTGTGGGGACACTTCAGGCAGACTAAATACTATCAGCACCATCATGGAAAGGATTAGTGTGAGAGCACATGCCATGGCTGGGAAGCTACGCTAGTGCACCACAGCTATGGAGATGAAGCCCAAGAGGCAGACAAGGGCTTATCAACCACTGCAGTATTTCAAGCTGGAGAATCCATGACCTGTTAGAAAGATCATTCTGATGGCAGTTTCAGGGGATTAATTGGGGAGGGGGGATGGAATGGGAAGATTAGGAGGCAAAAGAGTACAGATAGAGTGCCTACGTTTAATCATGATAAAATAAAGATGGTCTAGATTCAGATAACAATAGTGACCTGAACTGAAAAAGATGTTTTTGACAGTATTTAGAAGGCAGAATTGATGGAATCTGGCCACTGATTGGATAAGCATTACGGGTTAGGAAGGATTCTAGTACGACTCTTAACTTTCAGGTTCCATCTAAATAACTGTACCATCCACCAAAATAGAAAATACAAGAGGAAAAGTAGGTTTAGTGAGAAAGACAATGACTTTATGTCTGTACATAATGAGTCTGAGAAACCTGTGTATATCCAAGGGGAGGTATCCAGCAAGCCAGGTGAATACATGGATGTGGAATCAGGAGAGGTCTAGGAGTGGTCTAGGCTGGAGTCAGAGATGGGAATAGCTAAACTAGGAGGAAACTCTCAACCTGTACAAAATGACAGAAAAGCTAAAAATGGAACATTTTAGCCTACCCAACATTTCATGGGTAGGCAGAAGAACATTAAAAAATTGCATTCAGGAGGCAGGTAGGTTATTTTAGCCTACCCAACATTTCATGGGTAGGCAGAAGAACATTAAAAAATTGCATTCAGGAGGCAGGTAGGTTGAGAGTTCTATGACTAGGGAAGTGGTCAGCAACCATCAAATGCTGAAAACTCATCAGGTAACATAAGAGAAATATATTTATAAGATAGGAAGTCACTGGTGACCTTTCCAAGAGCAGTTCCAAGAAAACACTGAAGACACAGTCAGAATGCAGTGCTCTAAGAAGTGAATGAGAAATGAAGAAGCAGAGAAAGTCAGTGCTTACTATTATTTCAATGAGTTTGGCTATAGAGAAATGTGAACATTCAACTAATAACAGAGGGGAAACAATTTTAAGGAAGAGTTTTGTTTGTTCTTGTGTGGTTTGGGCCTGTTTATCAGGTAATATAGCAAGATTGATGGGTCCTGGAGAGGGTGACAAAGTAAAGGTGTCAAAGGGAATGATGTGAGATCCACAATGGAAGTAGTGATGGAACTAGTCTTGGACAAGAGGAAGGGCTGCTTTTTCACTGTATTGAGAGGGAGAGATTCATGTGCACATAAATAACTTTTTGGGTGGGTGGTGAGGAGCAGATAAACTTAATGAAGTGCCACTTAAAAGGTAAGATCCTCCGTTGAGAGGGTAGGGAGCTGATCAAGTGAGTTTAAAGACAGCAATGAAGGATGGAAAAGGTACTGATGAAAATGAAAGAGTTTTAGTATCTCAGTAGCATAATTAGGGCCTCCTCCCTAAAATTAAGCTCAGCCTATGTATGTGGAAATATGAGGTGACTATCACATAAAGAAATTCTGAATACAAATTGCTTTACATAAAACAATATTTCTTGACTTCCATGTGGGAGGATGACACATCTAGCTGCCTCCTGAGGAAGACATGTTCTTTGAATTCTTCCAATAACTGTGGCGATGGTCTTTTAATATCCAATACATTTGTGCAATCATTGTCAGGATTAAGAATGGAAGCTCTAGCCTTGGAATAGTTTTCCTTCAACATTATAGTAACTGACCTAATCCAAGAGTCAAACTCCAAAAATCTTAGCATATTGGCATTAGCCACTGCCATGTTTACATATGACAGCATTCTATTTTAAACCATGATCTATGATCTATTGTTACAATTTTTAATTGTAAGCTACACCTTTTGTGTCAAATTTTCCCAAGGCTTGAATAACAAGCATCTGAAAAAAACCTCATAAATGCTCCCTAGTGGGAAAACCGTACATACAACTACCTGTTTATATATGCAGTAACTTGAATTATACATGAAAATTCCACATGGATGCCCAGAATCAGTACTGTGTTAATTCAAGAAGTACATTAATTTTTTGGATGTATTTAGTAGCAGATCATAAGAAAAATCTGTTCTTTAAACTGGGTTTTCTTTAAAAAAAAAAATCTGCTAGTTGGAATCTACTATTTCAAGGAATCTACTCTTCCTAGGAAAAATAATTTGTAATAAATATTAATTGTATAATACATTAAAAATGAGAAATAAAGCTTAATAAAACCTTGGAAATTCTACATGTACATCTTTCAAAGAGCCTGCAAGCCCGTACAGTTTCCCTATCCTATAAAACTTAAGTGTCTTATTAAAAATAAAATTTAATGATAAATGTCAGTTGCAGAAGTTATCACCTTTTCATTCGAATGCTTGACTTCTATTGGATAATTCTCTTCCAAGAGACCTTCTTGGGAAAAAGAGGTGACAGCCAACTCACTGCCTAATTGATTTAGGAACAGTGCCCAGGGAGATAGTCCAATTAAGTTTACAAGCTGGCAATTAGCAGGAAGCCCTCTAAATCCCTACACTGAGAGCCTGTTTACTTTAGTATGAAGGCAAATGTGCTAGAGATAGGAAGAGAAAGCTGTGCTTTTTGCAAAGCTGTTGTGAGTAGGCCCACAAGGGAGGGCTGAAGAAAAGCTAGGTATATGTGGGCAGAGAGCCTTCTGTTTGACAGGTAACTGAGTAATTGGGGGGGTGGAGGAGGGAGAGAGAGAGAGTGTGTGTTTTAACAGACATGCAAAACATCAAACATCCACTTTAATTAGTGTTATGTATGGAGACATACAACTGTTAAATGTGTAGAGGGGCAAAGTACAACTGGATTATCTCACAATAAATGAGATTCCAAACATTTTTTCTTGAACAATATTAACATTATGAATAGATTTAGTTACATTTTTATTATGCAGAAGGAAAATCAGCCTCACGTTATATCTTTCAGGTTAATCAAGTCATTTTCACTAGATTTATTTCATGTGTTCAATATCAGAGACAAGTATATCCATAAACAAAACAAAGTAAATTGAAAGCTATTTAACAAACACTACAATGTCTTGAAAAACTTAACTTTTTATCACAGAACCAAATCCCGTAAGGAGTTTTAAAATGTACTTCTTTTCAATGTTTTCAAGTAGCCATAATGTACATGAGTTAAAATTTGTTTTTCTAAATCTCACTGAGTTTCTCTCAAGAATGTTAAGTTATACAAAACTACCTAAAGTATACTATATATTTTAGGGCATGGCTGGTAATGCAGAACTTCAAAAGGCAAATGAATCATCACAATAAAACTTCATTTTAAAATTTCCCAGTTGAAATGAACTACATTAATATATATTTTATAGATATTGATAAATCCTTTTGAATATTTGTATCCAAAAGGAAAACAAAAATGAAAAGTGATACAAATATCTTCAGCAAATTCTAACTAAACATCTGCTTTCTTTTCTTTCAAAACGCTTGCTTCACACAATTCCGATCTGGGAAGCAACAGACACCAATAATCTAAAATAATTATTAAAGAAAAAGCATTATATTCCTACACAGAATTCTTCAATGGACATAGTAATAAGTACTTTTAAAATATTCACATATTATTTCTTTAAGAAATTTTTCAGTAGGACAGTTTATTTTAGAGAGTATCAAATGTGAAAGTTCAGGCTTTTTAATTGTAACGATGGACTGACAATTGCTGTAATTTCCAAATTCTTCAATATCTACTGTTCCTTTGACATTTAGAAAATCATCCACAAAGTTTTTAAGGATACTACATGAAATGTATGTTTGAAAGGCAAACATATTTATGGGATGACAAATAGAAAATCAACACTCCAAGAATAGTTTTATTGCCTTATTTATGTCACCATCATGAACACTTTAATTTACTTACTCACCAACTTCCTTGACTTACCAAGTTTAAACAAAAGCACACCGAAAGGTCCTCTGTCAAATCTGAGGAAGAGGAGGTCATAGATGTCCCCACTTTCAGGCTTCTGAGAGACATCCTGAGGAGCTATCCAATGCACTTGAACGAGACTGCTGGAAACATCAAAAAATTTATTGAATTGCAAAGTCTCCCTGGGTAAGTGGTCTTCAGCCAAGAGCTGGATGTTAATAGGGGATAGAGCCACATCAAAAATTTGCAGCTCCCCTTGGTTGCTGCCAACTACCAGAATAGCCCCACTTGGGTGGCAGCTTATTAATGATGGCAAAAGTTCAGCCTGAGCTAAGAGAGTCACTCCACGGTGAGTTTCATAAAGAATCACTGAAGAATCTTCACAGCCCAGAATCAGTTTGTCTTCAGTAACATTTCTGCAGCAGCTGATGGCCTTCGATCTTAGTGGTATTCTGGTGACTGACACACACTGGATTTTGTTCCGAACGTATTCATATATGCAGCTGTCCGCCATGGGCTCTTTGTCTACACTGATGGAACACTCCACTGTGAACAGCTGATAAGGCTGTTTAGTGCTAAAGCAAACATCCAGCGGATCCCATTCTGTGCGGATGGAACTCAGAACCTGTAAGAAACGTATCAAGTACATTCAGATAGACGTTGGTTTTTCCTCAGCTGTCACACATAGGCCTGTATGTTAATTCAGAAACTTCTTAAAGAACATCAATTATCACCTTAAGCATCAGCAACATGTAAGTATACAATAGTATACGGCACACACATATCTTACGTAGAGCACATATATATTCTACAGCTGCAGGAATTAAAACTAAGATTTTAACACTTTGTTTTGAAAAACCCATAAATTTCCTAAAAATGTCCCATAATACATAAAAACTAATAAGGTGGGCTTTCAATAAAATAATATGGTTAGCAGAATATCTAAAGTTAGAAGTTAGAAAGGATGAGATTTTAACACTTTGTTTTGAAAAACCCATAAATTTCCTAAAAATGTCCCATAATACATAAAAACTAATAACGTGGGCTTTCAATAAAATAATATGGTTAGCAGAATATCTAAAGTTAGAAGTTAGAAAGGATGAATAAAGGACTTTAAATGATTAACCAATCTCTTTTCCACCCACCACCCTTCCCAATTCTGAAATTATTGGTAAATTACTTAACAGAAATATATTTCTAATTTGTAGGGCTGGGCAGGCAAAGGAAAAAACTTAAGAATTCTGTTAACAATCTTGTAGAAATATTTTTCTATCAGAAAGGATATGAAGGATTGCTAAGTAGACAGATAACTAATAGAAATAATGTGATGTACTGGTTTAAAAAAGAGAAAATTAAGACCTAGTAAATAATATGATTTGTCAATACTACAGAAGAAAAATTCAAAAAGCATCTTTGGTGTAGAAAGGCTACCTACCTACAAAAACACCAATGCATTAGAACAAACAGGCCTTTATTCATATGTAAATGTAGGGAGGCCAGGAACCAGGGGAGTGGTATTAAAGAGGATATTTTCTAAAATTTAGTCAAAAAAATTAAAATCAGACACAGAAGCATTAAATAACACATATCTACACATGTGATAAAATTTTATAGAACTATACACCAAGAAAAAGTACATGTAAAATTGGATGAAATCCTACTGAGATCTGTACCTGAGTTAATAGACTGTAACAAGGTAATTTTCCTGTATTTGATAATGTCCTGCAGTAATGTAAGATACTATCATTGGGAGAAACTGAGGGGGAAAGTACACAAAGAATTTGTTGTACTATTTTAGCAAGTTCTTGTGAGTCAAAGTATTTCAAAATTAAAAATTGTGTGTGTGTGTGTTTTTTTAAAAAGCACATACAGCTATGTTACAGAGTGCTGGATTGGGGACAGAAAGGGGGGCTTGACAAGACTTTTTAAAAAATCCATCCTACACATCATCACCAAATTAATCTTCCTAAACTAAATGCTTTTGCTTTCACATCCCTGTTCAAACCCTTCAGTGATGTCTATCCTATACCTGTCTCACTACTGTATTTTGGAAGTAGATAACTTGATTTCATAGGCTCACAGCTGAAGAGGAATTTGCTTCAGAATGAATCGTGCCTTCAGTCTCACTCATAAGACAGTACTTCAAAAAGTTTATGGAAAGACTCATATTACCGTTTAATTCTATTTTTCCACAAACTCTTTGAAGTACCCTTGTATCTGATTAAGAAGAGGCACTAGACTTTGGACTTTTGAGTTGGTGCTGGAATGAGTTAAGATTTTTGGACTATTGGGATTGAATAAATGTATTTTGCATTGTGAAAAGGACATGAATTTCGGGGGCCAAAGGCAAAATGCTATATTTTGCATGTGTCCCCCAAAGTTCATGTGTTGGAAACTTAATCCCCAGTGCAACAGTGTTGAGAAGTGGGACCTTTAGGTCACGAGGGCTCTGTCCTCATGAATGGATTAATGCTGTTATTGCAGAAGTGGGTTAGTTATTATGGGAGTGGGTTCCTGACAAAGGATGAACTTGGCTCTCTTCCTCTCTGTCTTTCTCACGCATGCTCTCTTGCCCTTCTGCCTTTTACCACAGGATGATGCAGCAAGAAGGGCCTCGCCAGATGCAGGGCCCTCGACCCTGGACTTCCCATACTCCAGAACTATAAGAAATAAATCTCTGTTCTTTATAAATTACTCAGTCTCAGGTGTGTTACAGCAGTACAAAATGAACTAAGACTAATGAATTACATTTTTATTCCCTTGACTGGAATGGAAAATCCTGTAGAATCCATATCTAACTCCTTCCCTCTGTCACATTCTCTTTCCTGCTCTCATTTTGGTTTTTGCTCAACAAATGTTTGAGTATGAGCTATGTGCCAGGCCCTGGTCCTGGATTCTGGTAAACAGCAGTGAGTAAATCCTCTCCCTCAGGGAGCATACCTTTATTAAGGGAGAAAAGTGGTATCTTTTTCTTACCCATTAGAAGGTTTATGGCTGACACACCCATAACAAAAGACAGATTAACAAGAGAAAAACATAACAAACTTATTTAACCAAAGTTTTACATGAAATTGTAGACTTCAGAAATGGAGACCCAAAGACCCAGGGAAAACTGTGTATTTTATGCTTAGGTTTGATGAAAAATGGACCATAATATAGAAGTATGATTGGACAAAAAGCAGGTATGACCTAATGGTAATAAACTAGGGAGAACTAAGCAAGGCCTGTTGTTCAGATTTTTTTTTTTTTATGGTTTCTGGGTCTTCATTCTTTTCTTCCAGAAATAGGGTAGGACACCTGTCACGTGAGGGTCTTATGACCTACTTTCAAGGGAGGTAGGTCAGAGAATTCTTTATATGGCCTCAGGGGAGAAAGGTGGGAGAAGGTGGGAGAAAGTTGGGAGAAGGTCAGAGAAAGAGAAAGAGAAGGTCAGAGAAAGCATTCTGCTTCTACAATTTTCTCTAGCTTAAAATACTCAACAGACCAAGGTGCTACATTTTGGAGTAGCATTTCCTGCACCCTATCACACTAATGACAGAAGAGAAGGCAATAATTAACAAGTAAATATATATAGATAGATATTCTACATATGTACTTCCTAAGTACTGTGAAGTAAAATAAAGCAAAGTAGGAGGAACAGGGAGCAGCAGGAATAGGGAGGAGGGAAGCGAGTGAGAAGAGGGGGTGTGAAATAGAGATCAGGACAGGTCTCCCTGATAAAGGTGACATGAAAGATGGTAAGCCACACAGCCATCATGGAGAAGAGAGTTCCAGACAGAGGAAAAAGGCCCTGAGGTAGAGGCTCTATTGGCCTGATCAAGGAGACCAATAAGGGTAGAGAAGGGAGAGCAAGAAAGATAGGAGTGGGGATTGAGGGGTGGAGGGAATGTTGTATAGTAACTTGTAGGCCTTATAGGGACTGCCACTTTTTCTCTAAATGAGATGAAAAGCCATAAGCAAGTTTTGAGCAAAGTAGGGACATGATCTGACTTGCAAATTCTCGTCTTACAATCTCCCTTACAGTCTCCCCTCTTGTACTCTACACTCTGAGATCAAACTAAAACCTGCCCTGCATTTTCCCAGCTCTGTAACTTCAGTCATGCTCTTTCCACACTCTTCACCCACAGAGACTCAGTTTTTCCTAGCAACCACACTTACCTTTGAAGAACTAGACCAAAAGTATCCCAGTTGTTTGGATTCCTTCCAGCTGGGTGGCATCTTTACTTCCTTTAGTCCACTTCCATATGCCCTTCCCAGCCCCGACCTGGCCAATGCCTCTCTTGTGACATTTGGCCTTCTATTTGCTTCTGATGTTTAGTCATATGTCCTCATTTTCACTGTAAGCTTAAAAACATTCTTATGTATTTTACACTTTTTTGTACCTGTATACCAGCTAGCCAAAAGCTATGCTGGTAGTACATAATAAATTTTTAAAAACTATGAATTAAAAATAAACAATATAATTCTGGTTGAAATATCATACTTCCAGAAAGCTTAAAGTTTTGTAAAGGAAGTGTAGGGCAGATGATTGAGAGGCCAGGTGATGTTGAGTAGAGCCTGTACTCACACAGGGACAGCCTAAAAGGAGGGGCCCAGCCAGATGGTAGTCTTGGCCTAGAACAGGTTAGGCCCAAAGTCCAGGGAGAAGGGTCCTAGGGTTCCTCATTTCCAAAAGTTTGTGAGACCTCTAATAGGCTCAGTAGTTTCACTAAGAGGAAGTAGCAAAAACGTGCTATTATTTTTCTGGTTGTTTTGTAGATCCTTTTTTCCAGTCTTATTGTCTTCCTTTGTGGTTGAGTGGTTTTCTCTAGCTTTGCATTTCTGTTTCTCACTATTTATTTTTAGTATGTTTCTTAGAAGTTTTTGTGTTATGGATACCATGAGGCTTACAAAAAAACATAGTTATAACAAATTATTTTAGACTAATAACAACTTAAATTTGATATCTAAGAGAAAAGAAAAAACCAAAGCCAACTACACTTTGCTGTCATTTCCCCTCACCTTTTTACATTTTGCTCTTCCAATTAGCTTTTAATATTGCTGGTCTTTTATATGGTTGTTGTATATGTTATTACCTTGTTAGGTTTATTCCTTAGTGTTTATACTAAGGATATAAGTGAGTGGTTTATTCATCACCCTTACAACACTGGAGTATTCTGAGGTTCTCTGTGTATTTACTTTACTAATAGGTTAAATACCTTCAGATGTTTTCTTGTTGCTCTTTAGTGTCATTTTCTTTCAGATTGAAGAACTCCCTTTAGCATTTTTAAAAATTAATTTTTAAAATTTATTATTAGCATACTCATTCTTACAAATCATATTTCTTTATGCCCTTTGCCAGACCTATCACTTCCCAAACCAACCCCCCCAATCCCTCCCATTTCTAACATCCTTAGGATTGTTCTCTCCTTCTGAAAGTTCAATGTATTATTGTGGTCTTTTCTTTCTTTCTTTCCTTCATTCCTTCCTTCTTCCGCCCCTTGCTTCCTAACAGCCAGTTACTAGTGAGAACACGCAGTATTCCTGTTTCTTTGTCTGGCTTATTTCACTTAACATAATTTTCTCCAGACTCATCCACATTCTGCAAAGGGTAGAATTTCATTCTTTTTTATGGCTGAATAGTGT